GTGATCACAGCAGGAAGCGGAGGCAGAGGATAATAAAGCAAGATAGGACGGAGCAGGAGACGACGACCGCCCCAAGGCGACAGATGGAAAAAATGAACACCCAGAGGAAGGAGAAACCTCAGCAAGTCAGTTCAATGAAAACAGAATAAAAACAGAATGATGGGTGTGGCCAGACAGCACAGAGAGGACGTGCAAACCGTCACCAGTCTAGGGAAAGGAGAACAAGTGCAGAGCAGTCAGGGAAACAGGAATTAAAATGGGATGCAGGGCCTCGCACTCTTGATCTGCACAATGGAAAGCGACTGAGGCCCAGAGCTGCTGCAGGCTTGGGCCGTCAGCTCAGGGCTGGCCGAGGCATGCCACCCAGTTCCTGACCGTCTATCTCTGTGCGGAAACTGAGGAGCATTCTAGAGCTTTTGTTTTCAGCAAAATGACAGTAATTTTACATCTTTTATCTAGTAATAAAAATGGGGTTGGTGTTTTAGAGGTCTTTGTTTTAATTTGCCTTGTTTTTCTGACAATTCGTCCTGTTGTACTCAACCAAAAAATCAGACAATGACAAATCAGGAGAAAAGGGTTCCTTTCCCATGACAGCCTGGGGCAACCTAGCTAGTAGGACCTGGAGCCAGTGACACCAGAGGCTACCTGGCATTCACTGTTACACAGTTGTTGTTTTTTTTTTTTTTGTTACACAGCTTTTAACGTGTAGCCCGACCTGTGGGCGTCCATCCCAGCACAAAGGGAGACCGTGGGTTGAAGAGCTTGTGGGATGATTTCACCAAACAAGAAGCAACCTGTGTCTACCATCAGGGGTCAAGCTGAACACATCCCAGGTGGTGGCAGCCCTGCCCTCAGTGCTGACATGTAGTGATGCATAGGGAAGGTGGGGAAGAAGGGAGAGGAGGAGGAGCAGGTGCCACACCTGTCTGAGGGCTAACAGGTGCTGCTCCTGCTGCTGCAGGTTCCACTGGCTCTGCTGGATGAGTTCGTCCATGGATGGGGCTCCCTGGGCCGGTGGGATCGGTGCTGCAGGGGCCAGCGGGGGCTGTGGCAGGGGCGGCAGGGCTGCGGCCGGCTCCAGCTCTGGGGCCTGCTGCTTGCAGATGACTGGTGGGAGAGAAGGAAAGGTGGCCCCTGTGAAGAGGTGGCCAGGGCTGAGGGTCCCCTCAGCTGCCTCTTGGGCAGCTCCAAGCCAGATACCGCCCCTCCCTATACTTGTCACCCAGAAGAGGACTCCCGTGCTAGACTGCAGCCCCCTCACTCTGCACTTGGGCCCTCCTGACCTGCCTGCCAGGCCCACCCTGCTCTCCACTCACAGGACCTCAGCCCTGGACCCTTTGCTGCATGAGGTCACCTTGCCCCTCTTCCAGCCGACCATCTGGCCTTGCCCAATGGCCTTTAAGTGGAGACCCAGCCCCTTCCCGTCTGCCCCTCCCCCAGGCCTGAGCCTATACTGAACCCAGACCATGGCTGCTGGCGGACAAAGAGCCCTCCCCAAGGGTATGTCCGTTCATCCATGTCCCCCACCCACCACCTCCTTATCCATCTTTAAAATCTCTCCGTTTGTTCCATGCCCCTCTGGCAACCATTTTATACCTGAGACTCGTCTTCAATTCTTCAGCTTCCATTTACCTTGCCCCATGGCAGTCTAGCCCTGCACTCCCCCCCTTCCCCTCCTTCCACCCCGGGTTGCTGTGGACATCCTTCCCTAGCCCCGCAAGCCCTGTCTCTGGTACTTGTCTCACTTGGCTTGTGTGGCCGCCCCCAGGCCCCTCGGTCTTTCTCTGCCAGACACCTGAATGCAGGGATGCCTGGTTATGCCCTCTCCTCTGGGCCAGCCCACAGAGCAGCAGGACATAGGGACTCCGGGGCTGCAAGCAACCACTCCTACCTCTACAATCGCCATCATGGATTCCTCCTGCTATAGATCTGATTACAGACCAAACAGCCCATTGGCTTTCAAAGACACCTCAAACAGGCCCATGTGTCCTCCTGCCACATGCTCTACCTCCCCACAGCCCCTCCCAGCCCCCAAGGTTGGCAAGGTTATGCCCACACCTGAAGCCCAGGAGGTCTGGGCACTTCTTTCTCCCTTGCACCTTGCATTAACAAGTCACCTTGTGTAGTCCAGTCAGGCTCCAGCCTGTGTCCCTGCCGTCACTGCTGTGACTCTGCTGTCACCTGCATCACCCTTGGAACTGATCTCCCTGTTTCTGGTCCTGCCCCCTGTACTTCTCAACAGCACAGCCAGAGTGTTCCTGTGTGATCTGAGGGCCAGCCCTGGGTGAAACCCGGACCAGACAAGTATAGAAGAAATGCCAACAGATCATTCTGTCACACTTATAGCAACTCGATGTTTCACAGATCACACGTTATTGTATTTTGCAAAAGTGTACTATCCACAATTGGTTGGAAGTTTTACAAAATGAAAAAAGCTAGTCCTTTACCAGTTTGTGAAGTGCCATTCTAGAACAGCGTTGAAGGTCAGTCTTCTCAAACTACCAAGGTGAAGGGCCAGGTATACAGCAGTTAAGCCTGCTCTACAACAGTCCTGAAATCCTCCAAGACCTCCCCAGAAACTTCCAGGAAAATTCCTAAGTCCTTGGCCAGCCAGCCCTTCCTCCTCTGCACCCTGGCCTCTGTCCACTCCAACCGTCCCTCTTTCTCTGGACTTAAAACACTCTAAACTATTGCCCCTTCCACTCCCAGCCACTCCCAAGGCTCCTTCCCCTACCTGAACACTTTTCTCTCCTGTGTTTCCATCAGGCTGACACATTCTTTAACCTTAGCTGAGACATTGTTACCTGCAGAAGGTATTTCCTGAGCCCCCATCTTCTGTTAAAAGCACCCCATCCTTCCCCCCATTATAGTACCAAGTGACTCCTGATTTCTGACCCTCCAGGGAGGGAACGGGCTCCCCTTGCAGGGAAAAAAGCATCTCAACTCATGGTCACATGAACGAAAGCACTGACCTCCTCTGCCCAGTTATGCTACCCTCATCAATATCCAACTGGTGCCCCAGTTCACGGATTCTACCCCTTAAATCCCACCTGCCCCCATGCCCACTCCCTCTGACTCAACCTGCTGATCTAATTTAGATTTTACCATCAACTGCCTTGTTCGTTCACCTGCAGACCTCCCTGGTCCCAGGCTCCACTCATGCTCCCTCCAGCCTGTCCTCTACATGGGCCACACAAACCCGATTCACTCTCCCTTCTTTCAAACTCTTCTGAGTTTCCACTGCCTACAGGAGCACTTTTCAAAACGATGTGCTGGGGCTAAGGAATGGTTGCTCCAAAAAACACTTAAGTGCATACAACAATTTGCCTACAATTTTAGGCAAATTTCCCCCATCCCCATCTCAAACTTAACTGGGCACCAGATGAACCTCTAGACTGAGGGAGAAAATCTGAACTTCACTCCTGGCATTTACCACTCCAGATCAAACCCTTCCCTCCTCTACACACGTTCCACGCTCCAGCCATGCTGGGCCTCTCATGATTTCTCTTAATGCTCCCTAAACACACTGGATTTATTCAAGCCACCACACCTTGCTGTCTCTCACAAACTTTTTATTGAACATCTAAGTACCACGTAGCATGGAACAACAATGACCCAAACAAGGTCTGGCTGACCTCAGGGAGCTTGTAGTCTAGGAAACAATTCACCTGTCAATGCCCATCTACCTGGCAGCCCCCTACTCCTTCAAACAATATACCTAGAAAAGCGGTATGGAACAAGACAGATGTGGGCTCTGCCTTCAGGGACGTTACCACCTGGTGCCTATTCATCATTCAAAGGCCAGCTGTGATCCCTAAACCCACCTTAAACTCCTTAAGGGCAGGGCTGGAATCCTGATATCAGCTCAGTGAACAATGATAAGAACGGCCAAAAACTAAACCAAAGAGCAAGTCCTTTGGATCTGGACTGCAAACACCTGAAATGCACAATAATCTTGCTAGACCCACAGACAGCTCGAAGAGAGTGCTGGACAATGCATGCCAAGAAGGTCCTGGTCCAGCTTCTATCACTTCCACCCTAGAAATAATTGAAACAGCTGCTCTACCTCTGCTAACCTAAGCCGTCCCATCTGCAAAAACAATAGGGAAATCCCTGATGCGGAGCCCAGGAGGAGGATCGATAACCTCGCTCCGTATTACACTCGGACCCAGCAGCCGCTCGATGCAAGGCCCTGGGAACAGCGGAAGGGATCATGAAGGCCCAGCTGCCCCATTTTCAAAGTCCGAGCATGCGGCCCAAAAGGCGGTTTGCGGCAGAGCCCGAACTGGAGTCAGAGAAAGGAATCGCTCCAAGGGGCGGCCTGAGGGCTGGAGAGAACTCACGCTGCTGCTGCTCCAGCGCCAGCTTGCACTTGTAGTAACTGTAGAACTCGCCTCCGAACAGAAACGAGAATTTCGGGTTGTCCTTCTGCTTCTCCATCGTCATCTTCTCAAACTCGGGCCCGTTGCGAGCCACGAACTGGGCCAGTTTGTCGATGACATTTCGAAGCTCCTGGTCTGGAAGACGGAGAAAAGGCCACGCGGGGCGTCAGCGAGGACCGCCCAAATCCGGGGGCCCTGGCGTCCCAGCCCCCGTCCGCCGGGCCGGGGTCCCTAGGGCTGGGCTCCGGAGGGGCCGCCCTTGTACGGGTCCCGATAGGGGCCACACGCGCGCCGGGGATGCGGGGACCCGCGGGAGAGGCCGCAGGCGAGCCCGGGAGGCCGAGCCCCGCCCCCTCCTAGGCCCGGAAACCCCGGAAGGCCGGGCGGGCCAAGAAGGGGTTCCAAGGAGAGAGAAATGGTCCCCGAGCCCAGGCTGGGCCTCACCGTCGGGCGGCAGCGGCATCTCCATGGCTCCGGCCGCAGGGAACGTCCTCCGGCGCCTCACGATCGCCCACCAGCCCCGTCTGCGGAAGCCGGCCGGAAGTGGCGCGAGGGAGCCGTTTACGGCTGGTCTCGCAGGCTGCTTCCGCCCTTCACTTACGGCCGTCGCCGGGAAACCGCGGAAGTGAGGGCAGAAGGCGGGCGGGAAGGAGCCGCGCGAGGTCGGGCGCGCGGTGGGGCCTAGCGATACGCACGCGCAGGGGCTTTCCCGCGCTTGCGCGGACTGGGCCGCTGTCGCGCTACGCCCCGGAACGGCTGGAACGACGCAGACTACCGTTAGCCACGGCCGTGGCGTCCTCCCGCGTCTGCGTCGCAGCCGGAGGGCCCGGAAGGCCGCGTTCGCCCCTGGACCGGGGCTGTGGGCGGTTCCTCCCCGCGGGGCTGCGGTGAGAAGACTACGAGGTGAGGTGCGTCTGGGAGGCTCCCGGGCCGCGACGCCGGGAAGCAGAACCGGGAAGCGACGGGTGTGGCGGGGATGGAACCGGGCTCGTTGAGGTTCACAGGACCCTCCCGCTCGACGCAGTGCTTTGGTAAGGAAGACTCTGGGGGCGGGGGACCTCCCCACCCGCGCCGGCCTCACCCTGCGGCCCCTTGGGGCTCGCCCGGCTTCCGTGCAGTCATTGGAGCGGCGCGGAAGGAGCGTCCACGTCCTGCGGGCGCCCGGCGCCTTCCTCAAAGATGCAGTTACCTTCTCAAATGATGACGCAGTGAACGTGTGCCGATGGTTGGGGAAGAGAACGGTGACCAGCAGCAGTAAACGTTAGCGTAGACTGTGGACGTCCCGGTAATCCGACCTTCCGGAGATTGCCCTTGTTAATTAACACTTGATTGTACCTCCCCCCCCCCTTTTTTTTCTACGCAAATAAATGTCCATGTTTTAGACACATTTCTTTTTTTTGGTTACAAATGTATCATTTAGACGGTTAGGGATTGCCTCCGGTATGCGCGATAGTGGTCTAGGCCAGGAATTGCCAAATGTATTCTATAAAGGACCAGAGAGCAAATATTGAGGCCGTGTGGGCCAAGAGGCAAAACTGAGATATCATGTAGGTACTTGCATAACCAGAGAGAGAAACAGCCCTAATATTTTTTATTGGTGGCCTTCAAAATATAGTAAGTTTTTAAAATATGGGTCTACTAAGGAGGAGAATGGAATGCGCTTTTTTGCGGTTCTAGGTAGGTTTTTCCTGCCACTAATTGATTTTGCAAATGTTCACCAGTAAAGACTACTCCTGGTTCACAAAAAAAGAGGCTGGATAGAATTGGGCCTGAACTCTGCTCTCCTGAGTGTGTAGTTTAGGAGGCATAAATCAGTAAACAAATACGTCTTTACAACGTTATAAAGAAAAACAGCAGAATTTTTGATAAGGGAGGAGAGTGGGGCTTGCTTCTGGGTGGTGAGGTTTGTACTGAGATCCTAATCAGGAGCAAGCTACATGAATACTCCAGGCAAAGGGAACATATGGGATTGGTCTGTTTGGTAAGCAGCTCAGTAATTTGGATAGCGTGGGTATTTTTTCATGTCAGTAAAGAACTATATCAGGGTTTTAATTTGTGATCTGCCTTGGGTGGAATTCAGAGATAGCTATATCTCTGTAGCTATATGCATTTTCGTTAAGATAAACAGATAAACGTTTTTCGGATTCCTAATAGCATCTGAGAGCCAAAACAGGTTAATGAATCTGTATGGTCATTTTTAATGACTGCATAGGACAGTGTGGTTTGGATGTACAGTAATTCATTGAAGCTAGACTCTATGGAGTTTCTGGGGTTAGTTCCATTTTTAGGCCAGTATTAAGTGTCTTAATGTAGGATGTACACATTTAATACTGATAATGCTCAGCTGTCCCTGCAAAAGATTGTAGCCCTGTGACCACTTTTATACATTTCATCTCTTAATGTGTAAAGGGCTGTTTATCTGACACCATTGAAGCATCATGTAGCCTCACCCAAGCTCATTTCATGGGCCAAATTAAAATCCACCAGTCCAAAGAAAGCAGAGTTGCCAAAAGTAGAGACAGCTGCACAGATGGTTTCCAAGAACCTGGAAACATAGGTCTTAAGGGAACAAGTAAAATGCACACTCCTGGGTGAGATGAACTTGCTGAAGGGACTTACCTAAGAAGCAAAGTGAAAGAAGTTTAAAGCCATGTGTACTTTGATCTCAAACATGCCTTGAGGAATTTATCCCAAATCAGAAGTATGGGCTACACTATGCACAGTAAAGTTACCTCATATAATGGTATTTAAATGTGCAGTAATAGGGGTTGGTTAATTACAGCACATCCCTTTATAGAATCCTACAATATCATGTACACAGACACACAAAATCAAGAGAGAGTATTTAATAAGATGGGGAAATGTTTCTGGCACATTTTTTGAAGCAGATTATTAAAAAAAAAAATGTGCATACATCCTCTCCAGAGGCAACTGCTGTGTCCAGTCTTTTGTCCTTTCAGAAATAAGCTATGTACTCACAAGCACATTTATAGATCATTATTTTGGAAATTGTCCTTGCTATACATAGATCTATCTCATTCTTTTTGATGTCTGTAAAGTGTAGATATCTTTTAGCTTTAACAGTTTTTTTCAAACTTAAATACATGGACAATAGAAGTTGTTTTGTTATTTAAAATAAGTAGTGGATGACTGAGGAATCCCAGGCCCATTCAGACCTGTATTCAGTAAAGGCAAAGCTTGGGTGTGACTGTCATCTTGTTTCCTGCAGTAATTGAACTGCCTGTGGTCAACCAGCTGAAGGCTTGGCAGGAGGAATGACGTGGGAACAGAGAAAGTCCTGTTCTGTCCTGGAACGGGCAGCAGCATTCCTCAGGCCTGATCGCATCACCAAGCAAGCCTCTGGTCACAGAGGAGTTGCCCTGGGGAGACAAACAGGAGTATTTCCATCCTTGGAGAGCACACTCCCAGGTAGGAGTTCAGACTAGTGTCTGAACCACGGGGCCACATGCAGCACGAACTAGTCTCTGCGGGAACAGGCCCTGACTTGTTGGTCCTGCAGTGGCAGGCTACAAAGCCACTAGGTGGCTCAGACTGGATGGCTCCTTCAAGGTCTTACTGTGGCAGTGTGGGCCAGACCACTGCAGTGAAAGGCTACACCTTGGATGGCACCAGCTCCTCTTAGGAATATATGACAAAGGTGAGGAAAAACAAAACAGCTCACTTTATTTTGGCTGCTCTGCAGGGCAAAGGGCCCTGGCTTGGAGTCATACACTCCTGGATTCCAGGCTTGTTCCCTGGGCCAAGCACAACTTTTGTTTCCACTTCCCTCTGAAATGGGGCTAATATTTACTTGGGTGCTGATGGTTAAATGAGATGTAATACAAAATACGCAAATAAAATATCTTGAGAATCGTTAAGTGCAAGTCAAAACATTTCCATTCTGCTCCCCTCAAATTAATTTCCCTGTACTTTGCTTAGCATTTTTCACATACCTCCAATCTAGCGTAGTGCTTATATACCACTTACTTAGTTATAGGTCTATAAATTAAGTCAAGTGTGCTCTGAGGCTTGTATCTATCTGTTTCCTATACATATTAAGTGTTCAGTAAATCACTATACGAAAGGATTATGAACTGAAAGGATGTGGGCAGTGGTTTTAGCAGAAACTCCTACCCTTTAACTGTAACTGAAGAAAATTCTGTTGGGAACTGGTTTCTGAGTAATGTGGGGGGAAACAGGCCCTGGAGGCCGACTTACTGTGTGAGTACAAGTGACAACCCGTTTGAGCCTCGTTTTCGTCTGAAAATAAGGTTAATAAAGCTTAACACAAAGGGCTTATAAGGATTGTGTGAAAAATCCACCAGTGTGTTAGGCACGTAGTAGGTCCTCAGTACTAGCTATTACTCCTCCGAAATATGCTTCATATGCACAGCTGCCACACCTTCTTGGGTTTTCTGTGTTCTGTTCAATAAAGGCATGTTAATTGCCAAGCTGTGATTCTAATTTTATTCTACCATCTCATAAATTTACAGATCAGATGTCTTAATTTTTGGCTTGGGAAGGGGGGAAAGGTTGCAGTTTACTCTGATGGGAGAATCAAGTTGGTTTGTTCTTCCTATCTCATGTTTTGTTGGTAGGCACACTGAAGACAGGGTCACTCAGAAAGACCCTGACAAATTAAGACCAATCGTGATTCCCTGGAGACCATCTTTTATTTTTGGTAAATGCCATCAATGAATATAGACACAGTATCATTCCCACAGAAGTTTATAGCACTTAAGTCTTGAAAACAGGTGACAACTGAAAAAAGAATTCAAAATCTTCAGTTCCTTTAATAATTTAATTTTATCCCTTTAAGGCTGTGAGGCCTTAAGGTATCCAGGTCTGGTTATGTCCCAGCAATAATAAAGGGCCTGTTCTATGGTATATGCCAAATACACAGCAAAATTCAGAAATCCCAAGGGCTTCTTCACTTCAACATATTTGGCTTCTCTCCTTTGTAAAAAGGGTTTGATTTCCCTAAAACGAATGACTTAAAATAAGGTGCTCAAAAAGTCCACACCGAGTCTCAAAATAGTGAATGAACACTATTCAAAAATGCCCTCTGATCCTCAGCTTCCCCTTCTGTAAAATGAAGGAGTTGGGTTTAGTTAGTGTCTCAGGCAAGACCATACCATGGATGGGTAGACAAATTTGCTACCACAAACCCCAGCAGGGAGGAGGGTGAGGGGAACAGAGCTGCGAATGTGCATGTGGGAGTAGGGTGGGGTTGGTGGGCCAGGGCCAAAGTGGCTGGAAAGCTGGCCTTCAGGAGGTCAGTGTCAGCTCTGAACCTTCAAGTCTCAAAAAGTATGTCTTTGTTTTTTGATCTGATGATTTGGTCTAATATGATTGTCTCATTCATTCCAGTGTATGTACTTGGCTGTAGATTTACGTACAGAATTAAATACCCCATTTATTAATTTATAAACCGTAATAAAACGAGTCATTTCCCCTCACTAGCAGATCTTGCATGGGAAAAGGAAAACAAATGAATATACAAATTTTAGCAACATCAGAAATTTCATTAAACCTGAAAAGACGTGTAGTTGATTTTTGGAGTTTGGTTATCTGTTCAAGGAGTCTGTTATTTTCATCATAAAGACAACCACTATAATATCTTTGTGCTGCAAAATTCTCCCCATTTGTTGCTATATTCCCCAGTGAGAAAAGTTCAGCTATAGACCGTAGTGCCTCTGGTGGAAGCACTCAGCAAGCTCTTTTCAAATACCTTCAGGATTTCTCCTTCCAGTTTTACACAGCAGCTGTCTCAAAACTTGGGGCCAAAATAATAATAAAGCAAACGAACAACACGGGACCTGAGGCCAGTGGTGCCTAAACTCAAGCCAGAAGGGGACCAGGTGACCTCTCCAGGAACAGCCTGTTCATAAGCTGACAAAATAACCAAACCAAGAGTCAATCATATGCTATGATACCTCCTCTGACAGGAAGATGTCTCTCCCCAGGAGGTAAAGGGTGACCCTCTATCCCATCTGCTGCTTGCTCCCAGGTGCCTATTCGACGAGTTAGGCACAGTGCTGAAGGAGGAAGGCAGACATCACCAAAGACCCACCAGCCAAGCCAGAGGTCTTCTCTGAGGGCAGGGTCCTCTTGTGATGCTGGGAAAGACGGAGAGCCTCACCTGAACCTCGGCACACAAGCTATCTGCTGGGGCCATATCATTTTCCTGATCTGTGATTTAGCCAAACCCAAATCGTAGCTTGGTGCTTGCCCCTTCTCCCCTTCACCAGGACATGATTCAGATCCTAATGCAAACACTGCCAGATCAGGGCATGGAATCAAAGTGCCGTGGTCTTGTCTATTACACAAACTACTGAGATGATGTTCTTGATTCATTCCGCTTTCAGCAGCTAGGGCCATTAGAGAGGAGCTTGTAAACACTTCGTCACCTCCTACTAATGCTGAAATGTATCAAGACAGGCATCGCCAGTAGGAGCTTTTCTTGTTTTTAAACATTTAAGAACAAAAGGGTTTTCAGTCCATAAGCCAGTCCTCCCTCATGCGTCCCCCCTCCCCCAACAGGGAACCAAGGCATAAATATACACAACTACAAAATATTCCCTAGAAAAATGCAAGATCCTCATGAAATTAACATCTCCCCACCAAATATCCTACTAAGTCCTCACAGCAGTGGTGGAAGACTCATCAGAAAAGACAAAACAAGTATTACAGAAATAGAGTTTGAAACACTGACATGATTTCCTAATGCTCCTTCTGACAGCCCTGCAGTCACTTCCTCCTCGCTATCCCCAGAGAGGAGAGATACCCTGCTCTGGCAAGGGAAGCGAGTGCACAGGAGACGCAGCTGCCCTCCCTCTGGATCTGGACACAACACTGGCTCTGATGTGCAGGTCAAAGAATTCGGCTTCAGGTATTCAAGGCTTAATTGCAGCTTTTTTTCTCTTTGGGACATTTGCCAGTAGCTGCAAACAGCTATGGGGTAGACCGGAAACTGGGTCTTTGTTTCTGGAGATGCTTTTAATAAACTCTGGCGCTCCTCTGCTCCATGCCTGCCTTAGCCCTTCACCTATCTGAGCAGCAGAATGGAAGTGGCTAGTTTGTCGCTCTCAAGCACCTTTCCTTACATCCTTTCCTTGGCCCCCAGGAAACCCTCTTGCCTGCTTGGAGGTCTGTATCCACAGCGATCTCGCCCTTCCGGAGAGTTATTTGGAAATACTATATGGAAAGCAGAACAAGAACTCTCAAATACATGACTCGGGGAATAAATCCACAAAGAAAGGTTAAAAACCTGGCTAAGATCTCCATACCAACACAGCCCTCAGATGATAGACTCCAGGAAGAAAGGGCCTGGAACACGAGCTTGAGGGCAGTGGTCCTTCCTGCAGGGCAGCGTCCTGCTACCCCCAGGGGGCAGGGAAGCCCAGGGTCTGCTGATGGTTATGCACCGTCCCCTCGGCTGGGTTGTACATTCACTGGTTGTCAGAAGTTTCTGGTACTGCTAGGGAGTGGGGGGAGGAGTCACACAATGGTACCGCCCTGCCCTCTAGACTCTACACGTCATAACGGTTCAAACTGTAGGAGTTTGGGTAGCTCTGCCGGCTGTACTGGAAGTGGTCTGTTAAGATGTTGTTGCGGCCATACTGATAGTCCCCATGCTGGGGGAAGAGGATGCCATTGTGGGGTTTTTCCAGGGGGTTCCGATGATGATCCTTACTGCTCAGGTCCCCTGTTGTGACAGGGAGGAGGTGCTTCCGGGCTTGCTGATTGGCATCGTACTTGGTCTGCAAGGTCAAGAGAGCAATGAGACAGTTGGCTCTTCCCTAGGGCACGCTCACAGGATAGAAGGGAGCAAGTGGCATCTAAGCAGCCCTTCACAGCCCAGTGAAGCACTGACCCAAGCAGGCCTCAGGTATGGCCGGCCCTCCCTCTTAGCCATCCAGGTTTTTACACTGGACTAAACAGGGCCTTCTCGAGGAGACAATGAAATCCCTGACAAAGCCTCTGTAGACCCAAGATCCACGGCTGGAGTTGCACAGACCTAGAATCATCTACATGGGGAAAGGAAGGCCGAGCCAGGTAGGGCCACACCACCATAAACCAGTCAGTGGCAGGGCTGAAGCCAGAGCCCCAGCCTCTTAGCTCCTGGTAAGGTCCCTTTCCTCCCCCCTCCCCCAACTTTTGGTGCCTCCCTAGGCATCAAGGGGAGCCCCCACCCCAGACTCACTTTGTTGTATAGAAAGACCCCCAGGATGGCTGTCATCATGCCCAGGACGTTGGTGCTGGTGACTGGGTTTTGCAGCATGATCAGGGACACTGTGATGACCATGATTCTCTTGGTGGCATTGGCGACAGAGTAGCTCAGAGGGCTGATGAGGTTGAGGATGCTGAAGGCGATGACATTCTGGGCAAAGTTACAGAAGCCACTGACAGCCAGGAGCAGGAGCGTCCAGGGCCACTGGGACACATAGGTCTATAGAGATAGGAAGCAAGAACAGCACTGGGGTCATATGTTGGTCCTGGCAGAGGTGGGGGGAGGGACGCAGAGTGGCCAACTAGGGTCAGTGTTGGCAGGCAGCAGACCCAGTTGTGTGGTATGTAGTAACACGTGCTTCATATGCACCTCTGACAAGACACTCTGCATGCACAACACAACGACAAATAATTAGTTTCATTCCTACTGAGGATGGAGAGGCTCCCAAGACACCAAGCCAGGTGCCCAAAGGGTGTAGAGCATGATGGGAATTGAAGCTTCCCTCGTTCCTGACAGTGAACACTGGGAGCCCTGCGATTACCAGAGCAAGATCTGCTTACTGGACACTATCTCAGTCCAATCAAACTGCTATAACAAAATACCACAGACTGGCGTGGGGGATGCTTATAAACAATAGATATTTATTTCTCACAGTTCTGGAAGCTGGGAAATCCAAGATCAAGGAGACTCAGTGTCTGGTGTGAGCTTCCCGGTTCATAGGTAGGGTCTGCTCAATGTGCCCTCATGTGGTGGGAGGAGTGAGAGAGCTCCCTGGGGTCTCATTTTATAAGGACACCAGTCTTCTTATACAAGGGCTCCACCGATAGGGCCTCCCAAAGGACCCCTCCTTTTTAAAAAAGATTTTATTTATTCATTCATGAGACAGAGAGAAGCAGAGACACAGGCAGAAAAAGAAGCACGATCCCGGCAGGGAGCCTGATGCGAGACTTGATCCCAGGACCCCAGGATCATGACCTGAGCCAGAGGCAGACACTCAACCACTGAGCCACCCAGGTGCCCCACCTCCTAATACCATCATCTTGGCGGGGGGCGGTGGGGGGAGAGGGTTTCAACAGAAATTTGGGCAGAGGGAACACAAACATTCAGACTGTAGCAGACACGATGCATTCTATAGGATGGGGAGGCCCTGGGAAGGCAGCCCTGGAGTAAGCAAAGAACCTAGCAATACAAGAACCCCAGGCTAGGAGCCAGAAGCCCTGGGTCTGCCCAGTCCTTGGGAGATTCCCCACCCAGTCCACTTGACCCTTTAAGTCACACTCTCTTCCTCTGTGCAACAGAAGAGACTGATCCTTGTGAGCCCACACAATGCTGCTGCTGTGAAGATCAAAGGGATCATGGCTGTGAAAGTGCTTTAAAACAACCCCAAGCCAAAAACAAGTTATCAGAAATTTGGTAACCATCTGACCCTCACCAGAATGAGGCACTCTGATTAAGGGGGCCGAGAAGCTAAGAACCCACAACTAGCAGACATCTGGACCACAGAACCACCCACTCCCTGCTCCACCTTTGAGAGTCTGGGCTGATCCCAGAACAGGCAGCAGGCAACAATCAGGTGGCTGCTGCCCTGGCCAGAGGGCTGGGGATGCCCAGCACTGAACATTTATGGACATCTATTCAGGGCTGCAGCCACACTCCCATGCCTCCCCACCTCCCCCAGTCCCACCTTGGTACCAGTCCTGGGGAACCAGAGGGAACCAAGAGGCTGCTTCAGGGCAGGGCTGCCAGGACAGTGGAATGACCTCAGGAGACAGTACTCTGGACATGGACATCTGGAGCATACAGCAGTCTCAACACCCAGTGTGGCTCAGTCAAAGGAGCAAAGCCACAGCTGCTTGGCAGCATCTGCTCTCTGCATCCCAATTCTCAGGCTGCATTGGCACTGGTCACAGGACACAGCTGGGTCCCCCAGGAATGGTGGCATTTAGTGGCCCTGCCAGGATGGGAGCTGAAAGTCTTTGAATGGCTGCCTGATTTCATCTCCACCCACCCTCTGAGAGGGAGGGATCATGAGGTCCTCTCAAAGGAGAGCAGGATACACTTAGATGACCTGCTTAAGGTCACCCTGACTTTTGCCCCTAGTTGGTGTAACAGCCTCTGTAAGGCATGTAAGCCCACCAGCATGCTTTTGTGGTGAGCTGGCATGTTCTTTCAGGAGTCATTCCCTGAGGTCACCAATAGGGACTCAGGAGCTATTTTTACAAGCCAGCCAGCTTGCATAGATAACCTATCTTTCAGGAAAAAAAAAAACAAAAAAACAGCAAATCCAGCTTTTTAAAAAAATTTACTTACAATGAAGTCAACTGACATGCAATAAAGTCAAATGTGTCTTCCTCACAGTGCACAGTTCCATGAGTTTTAACACCTGCACTGATTCATGTAGCCAACACCACAATCAGGATTCAGAACCGCTCCATCACCCCAAAACACTCTCCTAGATTCTTTGTATGAATCCCCTCCCCTAATCCAGGCAACTACTGTTCTCCTTCACTCTAGGTTTGTCTTTTTTTTTTTTTTTTTTTTTAAATTTTAAGTAGGTTCCATGCCCACTGTGGAGCCCAGCATGAAGCCTGAACTCATGACCCGGAGACCAAGAACTGAGCTGAGATCAAGAGACGCTTAACCAACTGAGCCACCCAGGTGCTCCTAGGTTTGTCTTTTAGAGTTTGTCCTATAGATGGAATGATACAGAATGGAAACTTTTCAGACAGGGTTCACTCAGCAATGCTGCTGCCATCCATCCAAGTTGTCCTAAGGAAAAGTTGCTGATGTTTTTTATTGCCAAGTAATGTTTCATTTTATGAATATACCAAAGTTCTGGGTTTTTTGTCCACTCACTTGTTAAAGGACACTTGGGTTGTGTCCAGTTTTTGGTGGTCATGAGGTCATGAGTGGAGCTGCTATGAACATTTGTGTGCAGGCTTTTGTGGGAACCTGAGTTTCATTTCTCTAAAATTAACACACATGGGATGCCTGGGTGGCTCAGCGGTTGAGCGTCTGCCTTTGGCTCAGGGCGTGATCCCGGAGTCCCGGGATTGAATCCCACATCGGGCTCTCTGCATGGAGCCTGCATCTCCCTCTGCCTATGTCTCTGCCTGTCTTGTGAATAAGTAAAATATTAAAAAAAAATTAACACAGAAGTGAGATTGCTGGGTCATATGATATGGTGAGTGTTGTTTAACTTCAGAAGAAACTCCCAAATGTTTTCCAGGTTGGTTGTACCATTTGTGTTCGCTCCAACAATACATAAGATTCTAGCTATGCTGTATCCTTGACGTATTTTTTTTATTGTAGCTATTTTAATAGGTATGAAATGGTATCTTATCATGCTTTTCTCTCTAGTGACTAATGATGTTGAACTTACCTTACTGCCATCTTGACATCCTCAATGGGAAACAGTCTGTTCAAATCTTTTGCCTATTTTTAAGCAAGTTGTTTTCTTAACTCTCGAGTTTTAAGGGTTCTTTATGTATTCAGAACACAAGTCCTCTATTGTTTGCAAGCATTTTCTCCCAGTTGGTAACCTGTCTTTCCCTTCATTTAATAGTGTCTTGGGGATCCCTGGGTGGCTCAGCGGTTTAGCACCTGCCTTTGGCCCAGGGCGTGATCCTGGAGTCCCGAGATGGAGTCCCACGTCAGGCTCCCCACATGGAGCCTACTTCTGCCTCTCTCTCTCTCTCTCTCTCTATCATGAGTAAATAAATAAAATCTTAAATAAAATAGTGTCTTCACAGAGCAAAAGTTTTAAATTTTGATGAAACTCAATTTACCAGTTTTTTCTTCATGGACTTCATTTTGGTGTAATGTCTAAGAACTAATTCCAAGTCATGAAGTTTTTTCTCTGGTTTTCTTCCCTAAAGGTTATCATTTTAGTTTGTCTTTTTTCTTTTTTTAATTTTTATTTATTTATGATAGTCACAAAGAGAGAGAGAGGGAGAGGCAGAGACACAGGCAGAGGGAGAAGCAGGCTCCATGCACCAGGAACCCGACGTGGGATTCGATCCCGGGTCTCCAGGATCGTGCCCCGGGCCAAAGGCAGGCGATAAACCGCTGCGCCACCCAAGGATCCCCTAGTTTGTCTTTTCTTCTTAAGAGTACGCTCCACACCAGTGTGGGGCCCAATGCGAGTCTTGAACTTACAACTCTGAGATCAAGACCTGAGCTGAGATCCAGAGTTGGGACGCTCAACCTACTGAGCCATCCAAGAGCCCCTATCATTTTTGCTCTTACATTTAAGCCTAGAATGCATTATGAGTTAACTTTTGTATGTGTGAAGTCTAAGTCAAGGCTCAGATTTTTACAGATTGATGTCTAATTGTTCCAACATCATTTGTTACAGTGACTTCACTTTTCCCTTTTATTCTCTATCAAAAGTCAATTACTCAAATTTGTGTGTGTTTAGTTTCACACTATTCTGCTCCACTGATTCATGTCTCTTTGCCTTCACCAGTATGTTCCTTTATACAAAGTCTTAAAATTAAGTAAGATGATTCCTCCTAGTTTATTCTTTCCCAGACTGATTTTGACTACTGTAGTTCTTTTATCTAAGTAAATTTCCCAATCAGCTTTTCTATGTTAAAAAAAAAATGTAGTATGTGTCTATCTACACACACACACACACACACAAACACACACACACACACACACACACAAACACACACACACACACACACACAGATATAAGGCAGACCTTGGCGATATTGCAGGTTTGGTCCCAGACCACTGCAATAAAGGAAATATTGCAATAAAGCAAGTAAAGTGAATTTTTTTCTCAGTGCATGTATGGGTTATGTTCACACCATACCACTGTCTATTAAATGCACAATAGCATCTGGTCTTAAAAAATATGTGTGCCTGGGCAGCCCCGGTGGCTCGGCGGTTTAGCGCCGCCTTCAGCCCGGAGCATGATCCTAGAGACCCCGATCAAGAGTCCCACGTTGGGCTCCCTGCATGGAGCCTGCTTCTTCCTCTGCCTGTTTCTCTGCCTCTCTCTCTCTGTCATGAATAAATAAATAATCTTTAAAAAAAAGTGTGCGTGCCTGAAGTGTACAAAACTTTATTACTTACAAATGCTAACCATCATCTGAGCTTTCAGTGAGTCATAATCACTGATCACAGATCGCCATAACAAATATAATAATTTAAAAGTTTGACAGATTACAAGTATTACTAAAATGAAACACAGACACACAGTGAGCAAATGCTGTTTGGAAAATGGCACCAATAGACTTCCCTGATGCAGGGTTGACACAGACCTTCAATTTGTAAGAAATGTATTATCTGTGAAGTGTGATAAAGCTAAGCACAATAAAACAAGGTATGCCTGTATAGATTAATGTATCTCAATTTTTTTTCATCATAACCTTTTCCAAGGGGAAAAAATTTCAAGTTAAAATTCAAGCAATTATTTATAATTAAGAATAAGATCTTGTGGGACACCCAGGTGGCTCAGTGGGTGAGCACCTCCCTTTGGCCCAGGGCGTGATCCTGGAGTCGCAGGATCGAGTCCAGCATCGGGCTCCCAGCATGAAGCCTGCTTCTCCCTCTGCCTGTGTCTCTGCCTCTCTCTGTCTTTCATGAATAAATAAATAAAATCTTAAAAAAAATAAAAGAGAATAAGATCTTGTTGGTTAGAATTTTATTTCACTTCGAATCTATTTCATTTCTTTTTCTTGTGCTATGGCACTGGCCAGGATGTCAAGTATGATGTGGAATAGGCATGTTGAGAGTAAACATCCTGAACTTATTCCTGAATTTAGCAGGAATACCTTTGATCAGGCTGAGGGAGCTTCCTTCTATTTCCAGTTTGTTGACTTTGTTTATTTCATGAATGGTGTTGGATTTTGTCAAATGCCTTTCCTTGTCAGTTGATATGAATGTGATTTTTCTTTGTTAGACGGTTATAGATTACATTGATTTTCAAATATTGAATGTCTTGCATTCTTAATTTAAATCCCATTTTGCCATAGTGATGTTTTTTATATATTGCTAGTATTTTGTTAACAACTTTTGCATCATTGTCCACGATGCAACCATACTGGTTTTGTTATATGTCCCAAAGTGTTTGCTTGTCTTGTTTTCTAGAGGAGACTGCATAGAATTGGTATTTATTTTTCCTTAAGTGTTTGGTAGAATCTGCCAGTGAAATCATCTGGACCTGATGATTTCTATTAGAAGGTTTTAAACTACGAATTCAATTTCCTTAATAGCTATGGGACTATTTAGATTATCTATTTCATCTTGGGTGGGTGAGTTTTTGTAGTTTACGGTTTATGAAGAATTGGTCTTTTCATCTATCTTGATGAATTTATGTATATAGAGTTGTATTATTCTTACTACTTTAGTATCTGCAAGGTCTATAGTGATACTCCTCCTCTCATTCCTGATATTTGTAATGTCATCTTTTTTTCTTCTGTCAGTTTTGCTTCAGTCAAAATATTTTCTATTTCCTTTGAGGCTTCCTTTTTGGCCCATGGATTATTTAGAAATATGTTGTTTAATTTCTAAATGTTTGGAGATTTTCCTATTACCTTTCAGTTACTGTGGTCAGAGAATACTCTTAGTATGTTTTCAGATCTTTTATTAAACTTTGTTTTTATGGCACAGAATATAGTCTATCTTGGTGAATGTTCCATGAATACCTGAAAAGAATGACTATTATGCTTATTGTTGGTAGGATGTTCTATAAATGTCAATGAAATAAGATATCCAGCTGGTTGATGATATTATTCAGTTTTTATTCTTGCTAATTTTTTATAGTTCTATTGGTTCTGGAGTTCTATATTTGCTAGATATAAAATTATGTGTTGATAGTTTCAGTATTCTAAAAATGTTATTTCAACTCTTTCTGGTATTCATGATTTCTTTCTTTCTTTTTTTTTAAGATTTTATTTATTTATTCATGAGAGAGAGAGAGAGAGAGAGAGAGAGAGAGAGAGAGAGAGAGAGAGAGGCAGAGACACAGGCAGAGGGAGAAGCAGGCTCCATGCAGGGAGCCTGATGTGGGACTCGATCCCAGGTCTCCAGGATCACACCCTAGGCTGAAGGCAGTGCTAAACCGCTGAGCCACCCGAGCTGCCCTCTTTCTTTCCTTTTAAAGATTTATTCATTTATTCCAGAGAGAGAGAGAGAGTGAGCGCGAGTGTGCAAAGGCGGCAAGGGGCAGGGGAAGAAACAGAGGGAGGGAGAATCCTGAAATGGACTCCCCGCTGAGTGCAGAGCCCAACACAGGGCTCAATCCCAGGACCCTGAGATCACGTGAGTTCAGGTGAGATCACGACCTGAGCTGAGGCCAAGAGCTGGCCACCCAACCAACTGCACCACTCAGGTGCTCCTGGTGTTCATGGTTTCTAATGAGAAATCCAGTCATTCAAATTGCTGTTCCATAATTATTGCACATTTTTCTCTGGCTACTTCCAGATTTTTTGCTGGTTTGTGTTTTAATATTTTTTCTCTCTGTGGGTCAAAGGGGATAATTTTTCTTTATCTATTTTCAAGTTATTGACTCTTTCCTCTGTCATCTCCATTCTACTATTGAGTCCATCTGGTGAGTTTTTAAGTTGCTGTTTCTAAATTTCCAAAATTTTCATTTGTTTCTCCTATCTTCCATTCTTCCCATTTGTTTCAGGAGTATTTACCCTTACTTCCTGGGACATGATTATAATCGTTGTTTTGAAGTCTTTGCTCAAGGGGCACCTACCTGGGTGGCTCAGTTGGTTAAGCATCTGCCTTTGGCTCAGGTCTTGATCTCAGGGTCCTGGGCAATCTGCTCAGCAGGGAGCCTGCTTCTCCCTCTACGTCTGCCCCTCCCCACTGCTCCTGCTCTCTCTCAAATGAATAAATTAAATCTTTTAAAAAGGTAAAGTCTTTGTTCAGTAACTCCAACATCTGTGTCATGTAAGTGTTGGCATCTGTTAACTATCTTCTCCTATAAGACTTAAAATTTCATGGTTCTTCGTATACCAAGTAATTTTGGATTATACCATGGACATTTAGAATATTATAAGACCGTAGGTCTTATTTAAATCCTATACGGAATGTTGATATTTTGTTTTAGCAGACTTGGTTGGGTTTAGGCTACAAGCTTAACCAGCCTTCTGTGGGCTGTGGTTCCAATGTGAGTCTGTTTTCAAAGCCTTTCCAGTGCTATGTGGCTCCATCCTCAGTGTGCACTACCGAGTGGTCAGGCTGGGATCAGGGCAGTAGTCTATCCCATAGTTCAGTTTCTAAGTCTTTGCTATGCTATTAGGATGAGATCCTTACATGTGCAGCTCAGGGGTGAGCCTAGGATTTCATGGTATTTTATGAGGTCACTTTCCCAAGTTCTTCCCTCTCCATGATCTCCTTGGTATTTGCTATTTCCTAGGGTTCCCCTTTTCAGTCCTCTAATCAGAGAGCTGGGGCTTAATGACCTCACTCTGCTTTGTTTTTGGCAACTGCACCTCCACTTGGGACCAAGCAGTGGGCAGATAAAAAGAGAAAAATTTACACAATGACAGTTAATCCTACTCTGACTGCAGAGGGTGGTTGCCCTCATGTGGGACCCTGCTGCCACTACCACCACGGGATTGGCAGGGGCCTGAGACCCAAGAGAACCAAGAAACAAAAATAATAGAAATCCCCAGCAGGGAATTTCCCTCTGAGCATCAGGAATCCCCTTTCCCATTCCATGATCCAGAAGGAAGGCTTCTTGCTCTGTTCTTACCCAGTGCCTACTTCTGCATTTTGGGCTGTCTCAAGCCCAGGCTGTACATACAGGTGGCAAAAGAGAGGCAAACTGACTGCTGACTAAGCAGTAGACTGAAATCTGGTCTTCAACCCCAGCCTGTCCACTGCCCTTTACTTTCCAGTTCTCAAACAGCTGCTTCACTCATCCTGTCCAAACTTTAAAATGGGGCAGCCTGCTTCAGAGTCTGGTGATCCCCACCTGGCTTCAGCCAGGCTGTCAGCAGTGGGGCTGCCCATATGCAGGAACTACCCATTGTAGCCTTTGGTTCTTGGTAATGTGGTAAGTGGCAGACTCCAGGGCATGTTCTCCCATCTGATCCTTCTTCCTACCACTATAAACCACAGGACTGAGACAGAACTAAATCACCTGACATCTATGGGAGACATAGGGCAGAGAGGAGGAGCCCAGATAGGTGGGAACACTGCCTTCAGACTGCAGCACTGTCAAATACTGTGTGCTGCTAGAGCAACTACTAGAGCATACAAGGGCCCCATCAAGGTAAAAAATACATATGGCCTCAAGAAGGGAAACAGGGGATGCCTGGGTGGCTCAGTGGTTGAGTGTCTTTGGCTCAGGTCATGATCCTGGGATCAAGTCCTGCATCAGGCTTCCCAAGGGGCCCTGCCTCTCTCTCTGTGTCTCTCATAAATAAATTAAAATCTTAAGAAAAAAAAAAAAAGAAAAAAAGAAACAGGTAATTAAAGGTATTCCAAAAAAGGTAATCACTAGAATAAAACTAAAAGTCCCTGAACACAAATAAAAACAAAGTAACCAGAGCAAAACCTATAAGTACATATTTGTATGCATGTATTCATATAGACACCAAAGAGTTGTAACATAGGCCAGAATAAGAGAATTGACCAAACCTATCAGCAATATTTTGCAGCCAATAAAAAGAATGAGAAAGACCTAAATATGTCAGTAGTAAGTGATTCCCCAGAACATATCGAGTGAAAATAGCAAGGTGCTCTTTTCTATCTATAAAGTCACTTTCTGTGTAAGGAGGAGAAAGGCAGGTATACAGATTTGCTTATATTTGTCAAAAGCAACACTGAAAAGGTAAACCAACTGCATAAAAATAATTACCTGTGGGGGAAGGACAAGAAGGGGGGGGAGGTGACGGACTGAAGTCAGACTTGGAATAAACTTTATCATATCATCTGCCTTTGGAAATACAAAAGTCTGACAAATTCAGTGTGGAAAAAGAAAAGCAATGCCTAAAAATGGAAAACAAATGGAAGCAGATGAACCCAACTAGGCAAGCTAATGATACAAGCGCACTGTAAAAATTACTTCTGTTGCTTTTAGAACACAATATTCCATAGGCGCCTTGGGGGCACAGTTAAGCATCTGACTCTGTATTTCAGCTTAGGTCATGATCTCAGGGTCCCGGGACTGTGCTCCACGTCAGGTTGTGTGTTCAGTGTAGAGTCTGCTTGGGATTCTCCCTCTCTCCCTGCCCCTCCTCCTGCTTCTGCTCTCTCTCTCCAAAATTAAAAAAAAATAAAAAATAAAAAAGAACACAGCATTCCAATTGTGTATCTTTAATGGAACATGTCCTAAGGACAAACAGAGCAGCAAAGAAAGCTTAAACTTCTCTCAGTATTCTACCTGCAGTTGTTCTGTGGGGATTCTCACTCTGCAACGATAATATGTGTGTAGTAGAGTCTCGTACATGAATAATTGGGGTACGATAAGCAAAGAACGAACATTGCAAGGAACCAAGTGTACCAGAAAAGATATAAATTTAAAAATCACAGCACTTACAAATTCCATAATGTTAAATCAGAATTGGAGTAAGTTGGTATGAACCCTCCCCTCTGCCCCAAGAGGACCTTCCTAACTTGTCAGTGCAAAGACTCAAAAGCAAAGAACCTCACGGTGGTGAGCACACACAGCACTCAGACTGTCTCTAAACCACACTCTCTATTACAAGCAACCCAGGTTCCCGAAGGAGTGGCTGACTGCAGGCCAGGGACAGGAGACGTGCAAGAGGAGAAAAACATACATTCTGCTGGGCCCAAAAGCTGCTGAAGGCTGACCTGTGCTGTCGGAAGGACAGGGAGCCCATGGGAAGGACTCCGTTGCCCTGGACAGGATAATCTGATTATGAAGAGGAAGTGTGCAACTGACATAGGAGTCCACAATGATATTGAAAAAAAAAAAAAAAAGAAGGCCCTTCCTTCACTACCCCAACCCTACCCCCCTGCCAACTCACTGGTTAACATGTGCAGTAAGCTAGAACTCTTCTCTGAAAATTGCTAACTGAAAAAAAAAAGGAGAAGCACTGACCATTTGTGTACTTCAAGGTAACAACTATTCCTGGTCGATGATGGAAAGCTCTTTGCAGAAAAATTACAGCTAATCAATATGGACAGGAAGTTAGAATAGAGCCAGTCTCCTCAGCTAGAGACTGAAGATAATGGGCACTATGTCTACAAGTAACAATAACGATTAAAGACCAATGTCAAGAGTTCATCAGAACTCATTAAGTCCTAATACACATTTGCTCCTCTAACTCACGCTTGGAAAAACCACGCCCACCTTTTCCTTATCACTGTCACCTGCGTGTCTAGTGCATTGTCTGGAGGCTGGCCCTGCAGGTGGTGGGCAGATTCTCTTTCCTGTGCTCAGAGAGCTATGGGTGCCTCCACAGTACATGGGAATATGGACAGAAATGACACTGACAAAGGAATCCAGCAATGCAAGTGCAGTTTTAACAAGTCAGAGTGAGATCTGACTGAGTGAGGCTGTCAAGACAAGAGAGTAGCCCATGCTGGCACTTTTTTCTTCCTGATGCCACTGGCTCAAATGCAGCAGCTGTCGACACCTGAGATCTAGCCCGCTGGAGGAGGAAATGCAAAGGAAGCCAACTTCCTCGACTACACGAAAAATGAGTCATGACAAAGCTGAATGTTAAGAGGGCTGGCTGTCAGGGGCCCCAAATGTCAACAAAGCAACTACTCTGGAACTATTCAAGAAAAGGGTGTTGTTCACTGTGCTGGCCAACTCACCAGGTCACTGCTGACCAGGAAAGCTGAAAGGTCCACCAGAACCCACGTGGGAATCATAAAGAAGACAGCGTGACAGCCCAAGATGTTCAGCAACCGGAGATGGTGGATCCGTGAATCTCTCAAAACCTAAAGAGAGAAAAACCTTTTAAAAAGCCATATGAAAAAAAAAAAAAAAAGAAAGAAAGAAAAAAAAAAAAAAGCCAAATGAGGGGATCCCTGGGTGGCTCAGCGGTTTAGCGCCTGCCTTTGGCCCAGGGCGCGATCCTGGAGTCCCGGGATCGAGTCCCACGTCAGGCTCCCGGCATGGAGCCTGCTTCTCCCTCCTCCTATGTCTCTGCCTCTCTCTCTCTCTCTCTATCATAAAATAAATAAATAAAACTTAAAATAAAAAAAAAAAGCCAAATGAAACTCCAAGTGGCAAGAAGGGCTCCAGTTACCCAGGTCCCAATCACAGTGACTGTACATTAGCCCCTGACATCTGACCTTGACCACCAAACCTATGAGTGCACCTGCAATGAGACAAAAATGCCCCCAAACAAATATGAAGGACTGAGAAATAGGAAAACAAAACAAAACAAAAACCCAACAACACTCAGTACTGGTGAAGCTGCAGTGAAACACGCACTCCGAAATCCCACTGGTTTATGTCTAAATTGGCATACAGTGGTTCTAGAATACAACCAGGCGAAGTATACCAGGAGCCATAAATATCTCATATACTCTGACCCAAGAATGGTAAGCCTTTGTAAGGAAATAACTTGCAGACAGAATAATGTTATACACAGAGATGTTCATTACTGTGTTACTTATGATGAAGAGTTGGAAATAGCCTGCATTTGCAGTAGGGAAATTGACTACATGAACTGTGGTGCCAGAAAAGAGTATATTACAGGATTTATAGCAATATTTTTTAATGATATGGGAGAATGTTATAATAAATGAGCAAAGCAAAAATTTGAAATGAATCTATAATATTACAATTCTGAAAACTGTACAGAAAAGCCCCCTAGCATTAATAGTTCTCTTCAGGGACAGTACTGTGACTTTTTCTCAGAGTGGAAACCCCCAGACAGGGGGCAGTTCTTTACTGATTACTCATCTCCAGCACCCACTAAGTTTTCTGAGTTTTGAGCTGGGGGGGCAGAGCAGGGGGGCGCTTTTCATTGTTTTCACATTGAGCATATGCTAATTTTATTATAGGTAACAAACTCTTTTCAAGAAAAAATGAAACAAATACAAAACCAGTAGTAGGGCAACAGGATTTTTTTCTTGTTCCAACACCACAGAAATCCCTACTTGACCACTTTTTTACCTGTACCACCCCCAAATCATCAGGCATATCCCAGATGGTGCCCAAATACCTTTTTGGAGAAAATATTCTGAAGCGAGAAGCACAGTGTGGCAGCAAGGGCACTGATGAGCCCCCACATGTCGAATGACAACTCGGTGACGGTGGCCAGCAGAACGCCGCTGATGATGGGGATGAGTGACAAGTATACCTGCAGGAGGAGGGCAGGAAGGGTTGATGGCCAGAGTTGAGCTAGGCTGCCCAATACAGATGCCTGGAGGAAAGCCTCAGCTGCTCTCCCCTCCCTCAGCAAAGGGACTCCACCTACCCCCTGGGCATCAGCATTAGCTGTGGCAGTGAGGCTGGAGGGGCGAGGAGAGGCATATGGGGCAGAGTACCTGGGCCAGGGCTGTGTCACTGTGTGCAGCCCCAATCTCTGTATCATCACTTCTATTAAGAACTGGGGCTGGCCCTACCAGCTCTAACCAGCTGCCACTGCCAACATACCAAGGTGTAAAACCCCAATCCTCCAAAGGCTGGCCAGGCATCTCTGATTTTAGTCTTTTCCAACATGCAGCAGTTACCCTTGGCTGGGACACTCCCTCTACACCTTTTCTGTCTAGAGACCTCCTTCCCCCTCAGGTCTCAGTTCACAGACCAGGAGAACTTTCCCCAGCGCACCTGCTCCCCGCAAGACCCTGTCAGGTCCCCGGGTGCCTGGGGTTTTCTCCACCCACTGAAAGGGCCCATCCGCATCCTTGTGCTCTTTTAGGGCAAGTCCTTGTTCACTGCTCTGTCCTGATGCCCAACACATAGCAGGCATCCAATAAGTGCTGGCTGAGTAAGAAAGAGTGCCGTGGCACGAGGCTTTCTAGAAGGTCCAGACTTTCCAAGGCCTAGTGTATGCATTTGTTCTTGAGTTCTGATGGCTAAATGGCTCCAAACTTCCAGGGAAATGGGATCCATTTTTGATATCTAGTTTTTCTGACTCCCAGCTCACCCTCCTCCTACAAAGGACACTGAAGCACTGCAGAAATTTTCGGAGAGGGGTGTGGGCTTCTTATCCATCCCTGGAGGATAGAGCAAAGGCTCTGGACTGTGGGGCCTGAATTCCGGCTCAGCTGCTATTGGCTGTGGGCCTCAGGCACTTGACTCACCCCTTTACATCCCATTTCTTCCCATGTGATCCAAGAATGACAATAACCTGCCTTATCTGTCTCCTAGGCTGGGTCCATACATATTGCCTTTATCATTAGTCTTTGCCTAGGCCATTCCTCAGTCCCTCCTCACTGGGTAACGTGCTGGCTCCTTGCCCAAGCTGGGTACAATGTCCTGTACAACCAGGAAACCTGATAAACATGATGTGATACCGAGTGATGAAGCTGCACACCTCCCGGGCAACTCCGACCTGGGGAAAAAAGTCACACCTGACATCACCCTGGGGGCAGGCTACAGAGCACACCCGGGTCCTTGCAGAGAGAAAGCTGGGCTGAACCAAAAAATCAACCAGAGGTGGCCCAATTTCCATAAGCCAATCCAGGGCACCGCCACTCTGGGTTACATAAAATACAGGATGCCAGAAACCAACCATCTAGAAAAGAAGTGCTCTGTCCAGCATGAAATGGATTCCAGCTGGGACAACAGGAGTCCCACTTCCACTTAAGGAACAAGGCTGTCTCTGGCTGAAGCCACAGCTTCTCTCGCCCCAAGCCAGGAAATACCCTGGCTTGGCATCTTGAACAGACTCTGGATTGTGCCCAAAGCATCCTCCTTATGCAGTCCTAGGTTCTGCATGTTGCTTTCACTTCCCTTCCCAGACACTCACAATTCCTGGTTGTTTTTATTTCGAAGACATTGCTGGATTTTGCCCAAATCAGACTATTGTGACTGGCATCTCACTTCTGACCCCAGAAGTCCCCAACCTGACTACTGTCACTTGCCAAGAAGGGAGACTTCATCAGAGTTTCAACAAGGCGTCAGATGTTCTATCCCTGGTCCCCCTGGAGGGGCACGTGATGGCTGGCCATGATGGGACCAAGTCATTGCCTACCGACAACCACATGTCGGGAATCAAGACCTAAGGGAAGCTGGACCCAAGAGGGGCATCCCCGAGACCACAGAGCAGAGGTAACTCAGGGACGTACATCACTGCCTCCAAAGCAATTACAGAACATTTGCAGTAAAGGGCCACCAGAAGCCTCCAAGCTGACTTCCTTGAGAGGAAGCCAGGAGCCTGGACCACGTCACCAGCTGGGCACCAGCCAGGAAGCCCTCGGGGCCCCCACCTGCCCAGAACCCTCCTGGGTTACCTTGGTGCTCTGCTTCTCCTTCATGATGATCCGGGACAGGAGAACCACCCAGATGGGCATGGTGGCCTTGACTGCAAAGAGAGGCAAGGGGCTCTCAGGGAGCCGCCCCAGTCCCAGAACCCACCCTGGGACCCTGCCCCAGCTCCACGAGTGCAACGGGAGGGCTTGGCAGCTCTTCCAACCCGCGCCAGCCTGCCTGGGGAGGGGCTTTGGGATTGTGATTTGCCCTGCTCAGCTCCCAGGTCTCTCCTCGGCCACTTCCTTCCCCAAAACCCGTGTGCGAGTCCCTCCCCTGCTAAAAGCCTTGCTGGCTCTCAGCCTTCGGGACACAAGCGGCCTTCTCTCTCAGGCCGTCGGGCCACAGCCCGGCCAGCGCACTCCTAGCCAAGCGCCGAGATCCCGGGGGCGCGTCCCGGCCGCGGCACCCACCGGTGTGCGCGTAGGACACTGGCACCTTCCAAATGCTGACGTGCGCTGACACGGACGCGAAGTACTTGCCGAAGGCGAGCGGCAGCACGTAGCGCGGGTAGAAGCGCGGCGGCAGCAGCGGGCCGGGGGACGGATGTGGGCCGGGCCCGGGCCCGGGGCCCGAGACGGGCGGCGCGGGGGGCACGCGCCAGGCGCGCAGCAGCGGCGGGAGCCCCGCGCACAGCGCCAGGATGTGGCACAGCGACACGGTCACCGGGAACGGGAAGGCGCTCAGGATCACCTTGTTGACCACGTTACCGCCCGCGCTCAGCGCGTACCACAGGAGGCACAGCGCCGCCACCCGAGCGCCCTCGCGCGCCCCGCCGCCGCCGCCGCCCGCCGCTCCCGGGCCCCCAGCGCCCGCGCCCGCGCCCACCGCCGCCGCCGCCGCCATCCTGCCCGAGCGGCCACCTCTTCCCGCCTGTCCGACGGCCCGACGCCGGGCGGGGGCGGGGCCGGGGAGGGGCGGGCGCGCCGGCCAACGCCGCTCCCCATTGGCCGCCGCTGCCTCGCGTCACCGCCTCGCGCCGGCCGACGCGCCGGCCACCACGTAGCGGGCGCAGGCCCCGCCCCTCTGGTGGGCTTCCGGCGGGGGTGGCGCCTGTCGCGGAAGCGGAAGGTGGGACATGGATCCGATCCTAGCCGGGTTGAGCCGGCGGTGGGTTGGCCCAGGAGACCCTGGAGCCCAGGCTCCAGCTGAGCGTGCAGGCGTGCAAGGGCCCTGCCGCGTCAGGGTGTGTGAGCGGGCCATTGAGCTCGGGGTCAAACCTCGATGCCCGCGCTACGTCGGCGCCCTCCAACCAGATTCCTGATGAGCGCGCAGCGGCGGACACCAAGGAAGAAGGATCAGACCTTTCTGGAAAAGAAACCAAATTGTGAAAAGCTTCCCATAGGCTCATTTCTTTTCTGCAAAAACAGGGGAGCGACTTCCGTGGCCGACTTCAACAGAAGGGCTAGCCCGGAGCGCCCGGTGTCCGGGAGTGCGTTCTGGGAACCACTGCGACGTGTGCTCTGCGGTGGGTATTACCATCTCCATTTCACGGACGGACAGACCGAAGCCCAGAGAAGGGAGGCGACTTGGCCAACTGGGGAGCCGTGGCCATGGTAGCCTGCTCCGGCACCGGTCTCTGGAGCTCACTGCAGGAGGGAGGAGTGCTTGATGACCAAGGGCAGGACGGACCAGCCCCGGACCCCAGCGGAGGAAAACATGGTGTTTTCAGCAAGAGAGTCTTATACTAAAGGACTGTGATTTGTTCCAAAAATTATGTACTGACGTTCTTTGGGGGTGGGGGTGGGGGGAGAGGTTTAATGCCCCCTTACAGTGTCCTTACTTGGTTAATTAGAAAGTGGCAACCCACTGATGTCCAAAATGTGAAAAAGGGAAATCTTAACTTTGTGTTCTCAAAAGCAGGCAGCATGTTTATCTGGATATTCAGACACAGACATGGACCCTGCAAGTGGGCGCAGAGAGCAGGGACCTGTCCTAAAGTCCACGTCTGAGAAAAGGAGGTGCTCCTAAGATGCCAGGCTGTACCCTAGGGTCTTCCAGCTATGCTTATGACCCCTTGTCACTGAGTAAGTCACTTATTGGGGACACTCACAGCAGGAGGGCTGGCCCACATTACAGGCACAGTAACTAGGAAAGTAGTTACTCCATAGCACAAAGGGTTCTACGGACATGCGCCCCCTGACACCCCCCCCCAAACTCTTTTAACTTATCCTAACAGCTCCCCGGTAAGCACGTTCATCTTCCAGATAGACATGTGTACAGGAGTGAAGTGATTGTTAGGGCCACACAAACTGATAGATGGCAGGTCCAGAGTTCAACCTCAGCCTGTCCTCAAAGCCACTTCATCCACTGCCCTTATCTAAGGGTGGGTGGGTCCCTGCACTCAGGACAGGTCAGATATTCCTGCTGCTTCTGAAATTGTGGTTCTGTGTTGACTCACTGCTCCTGGACCCCTTGGTTTGCTCTAAGGGACTGTACCTAAGGGGCAGCTGCTTCCTCATCTGTGAAATAAAGTAGTACATCCAACATGACCTATTCTGAAGTGAAAAAGTTTGAAAACCAAATTCTTAGCTTATGGTTTGAGGGATGGAGGGAGAAGGAAATATAATCACCTTTATAGTCAAGGCAGAAAAGTTATTTTTAAAATATAGCACCTGCCAGTTACTAAGACAGTCCCAGGCCTGCATGGGGACCTAGCAGCCTTGCGGCAGAGCCAGGGGGTACACTGCCAGAAATAGCTCTGGGCCATACCCTGTAAGAGCCTGATATTTTGTTGGGTAAAACAAGGTTACCGAGACCTGGGACGTGGAACTTCCTTGGAGGGCTTCTTTCTCTGGGGCAGGTGAGGTCCAGATGGAGACGGGGTAACATTCCTTCATGTGGACTTTCAGTCTCTGTCAATCAAAGCTAACAGGTGACCCGAGGTGGGAGAGGCAACCTGGACCCGAATGAGGGAAAGGCCGGCAGAGATCAGTTTTCATGCAGAATAATAATAGGGCAGGCTTGGCCACCCTGCCCTGTCCACCTCCCTGCAGTCTGGCTATGCAGCCCAAACCTCGGACACGAGGTCCCAGTCTTAGCAAATCCAGAAAGGTTGATTTGACTGTAAAGGACCAGATTAGTAACGATTCTGAGACTGGTTTGTGCAAATGTTTTTTTTTTTTTTATTTCCACATTTATATCACAAGGTGTCCACTTACTGGACCAAATAGCAAAGTTGCTCCCTTCTGTGTCCTGAGAACACAGAAGTCTAGGTACTGTACATTCACTAAGGCTCCTTGTTTTTGCAAATCGCTTTTATGACAAATAACCATAAGGCAAACGAATCTAAAGGAATGGTTATGAGTGTTTCCAGCGTACAGACAGGTCTCCTCTTACCCAACAATACAGCATACACACCAGTAGCACCCGCGGTTACTTTTGTATTTTTTTGGGAGGGGACTCTAGAAAGGTGAAATTCTTGAGATATGTGCAGGAAGGGGAAACTGAAAAAGGAGAAAGAGGAAAATTATTTGGCTGGTGGTCAGATGGAAGAGGGGGATAAAATAAACTCCTAGGAAACAAATTTTTGCAGCATTTTTTTCAAAACGGGGTTTGAACCAAAACCAGATGAAAATGTGTGGATGCCCATGGAGTGTAGGTCGTATTGGCTGGCCAGCTGGCCCAACTGCTGCCAGCAGCTTGCTGCAGCTGACAAGCTTCTCGTGTCAGGACTGAAGCACTGGCCAGGTGGGGTGCAAACAGAGGCCATGGTGTAGGTCCACCCACTGCCTCAGACACTCAGGGCCAAATTTAAAAAAGGAAAATGCAAATAGATGAGATGCGTGCTTCTGTTGCTGTGTTTAAAGGTAACCTCTCCCCTAGGTTTTCTGTGCCTGCCTGCAACTGAGGTCCCAGCTCACGGGTGCTGGGAAGTGTCCACACCTCTTCCGGGGTGGGGAACTAACGCTTTTTATAGCTGGTTTGCTATAGAGTTCTGAACTCACTTTGCCGGCCTTCCTTCCACACACGGTCCTTCCTTTGCAATTTTGTTAGTAAACTGGTAGCAGCATTTCACAAAAGAAGGAGAATTTTGAGGAAAGAGCACGGAGAGACCTCGAGACTCCCGCCCCCTCCCTCCCGCCCCGGGCCGGACTCCCCAGATTCCCAACCACTGGAGGCAGCCAGGCCCCGGCTGCCCGCCTGCCATGCTAACTGCAAGGTGGGAATGCACTTAGAGGCCGACAGGCTGGTCAGTCCAAGCAGACATAAGGCAGAATGTTCAACCGCCCGTCGTCGCCGTGCGGGTCGAGCGATATGCACTGCGTCCAGTCATACCAGTTACCCTGTGTGTCCTGACACCCGTTCACCCCCGGCCACTGGTGGGCCTGGATTCTGTCCAGATCGTCCTGTGTAACCTCTCGATTCAAGCCTGGGAGGTCCGTGGGCGCGCTGTGAGGCACCAGCACATGCGGCTTCCTGGCCCCACGCCGGGTGCTCTCCTCCTGCTTCAGGTACTCAGACATGAAGTGGTGAGCCCCAGGGGTCTGTGCGCCTGATGATGAGAGCAGGCTGCTCTGCCGGCTCAGGTAGGACTGGATGATCTCATTGCGCGACAGCTCCTTCCAGTTCGTCTGTTCAAAAGGGCTCTGGAGGCTGGCCTTGGCCTCGGGCTTGTCCAGCTCTGTCCTGGGCTGCTCTGTGTGCACAGGGCTGTCAGCCCGCACTGGCTCTTTCTGGGTCAGAGGTTTGATCTGTCTGGTCATGGGGTCAAAGGTGAGCTTCCGCTCTTTTAACCGAACAGGCTTGACACCCGCCTCAGCCACCTGCCCATCCAAGTTCACTGTGTAGTCACGAGGCCGGTACCTCTTCTTCTTTTTGCTGTCCGAGCCACCAGATGAGGCAGCATCGCTGTCTGCCTTGGAGGAGTCCGGAGAAAAGCCCGCCCGGGGAAGGATGGGCTCAGCTGGGGGCAGCCCCACCTTGCAACCCTGCCCTGCCAGTCGCTGGTGGCCCTCGGGCTGCTCCAGCCAGCGCACCGGGCTCTCTGCACTGGGTAGCAGCTCGAGCCGCCTCACAGGTGGTGTGGACGGCTGGGCCAGTGGAAGCGGTGATGGCACCTGTGTGGCATCAAGCGGCTGGGGCCGTGGAGAGGGGCTGGCCATGGAGCCCTTGGGTGTGTATGGGCTCCGCTGCCGGGCAAAGGAGCCCTCATGCCGTGAGTTCCGGGGACTGAAAGAGCAGCGAGGCGGCCCCTTGGGATGGGGAGGGCCTGGAGTCTCATCCACCCGGTCCAGCTGCTGCAGCACTGCAGCCTTTGTCTGCAAGCAGGGGCCGGGTGGCTTGCCTAGGCCCGGGGAGCTGGTGTGCGGCCGCACGGCATTGACCGGAATCTTGCCACTGTGCTTGTCGCTCTCGCCGTGCTCCAGGCGGCCGCCCTCAGGGCCTGAGTGCCCACTGCCGTCCAGGGTACCAGGGAAGCCCTCGGGGCTCCCACCGATCCCGTTGGTGGGGAGAGGGGACGAATTGGGTACCAGGGAGTCATGACTGGCTTTGGAGACCTTAGGAGGTGGCCCAGGGTGGCCGAGGTCACGCTGATCTCCGCGGCGCTTGCGGCTGCCCAGCCTGTCCAGCCGCTGCCCAGGCAGCCTCTGGATGTCGTTACGGTTCTTCAGGTCATGGATGCTCTTAGGCGTGCCGGCCGCCCCCGCCTCCGGCCTGCAGTTATGAGCACCCCCGTTGGCAGAGCCGGTGCCGCCCCCCAGCCCTCGCAGCGCCGCCTCATTCTGGTGCACGGGCTCGATGAGCTTCTGCCAGCTCCGCAGCAGCTTTTTGGCCCGCTTGGCGAGCTCCTCGTTCTTGGTTTTCTTGCGTACGTCGTTGATGAGCTTCCCAAGTCGAGTCTCCTACAACCAGAGAGACGATGACATGCTTTTGGGAAAGAAGTCCCCCATGAAAAGGGAGTTGAGCCAGAAACGGTGGGAAGGGCCCCTAGTCTTTGATTAATCCCACTGACCCCTAAACCACAGAGTTCCTGGATACAAAACCCATAAGGATTTGGGGCCCTTTGTGACATCTAACTTCCTGAATCTAGTCCTTAAACTTTAGGGTCTCAGGGCCACAGGAGGCATCTTCAAAAGTACCATCCCGGGATCCCTGGGTGGCTCAGCGGTTTGGCGCCTGCCTTCAGCTCAGGGCATGATCTTGAGTCCTGCATCAGGTTTCCTGCATGGAGCCTGCTTCTCCCTCTGCCTGCCCCTCTCTCTTTCTCTCTCTCTGTGTCTCTCATGAATAAATAAATAAAATCTTTAAAAAAAAAAAAAAAAGCACCATCCCACAGGCTTCTGACCTGGAGGCTGTGGACCATCAAAGCCAGTGCAATGACACTATGCCAAGGAAGCTCTTTGGGAGTAACGCTATGGCAAAGGCAACAGCAAACGGAGGGCCTGAGCCAGCATCATTCACTGGAGCTTAACCCCTCAGGCATGCCTCCCAGGCCTGAGACTAAAGCCACCCAATTCCTGCAGTACCTATAGGAAGATGTAGCTTCTGGCACAGCAAAGGCCAGGAGAGTATGCACCCCCCTCACTCAGCACTACTAAGTCCTCATCTGGCCAGTGAGAGCACAAGGCTCCAAGAAGCCACAAAGGACTTGGGCTGCGGGAGGCCAAGCTCAGCCCACCGTGCTCCCAATATTGGGTCCTGGGGACACTCACCTCCAGTGCCTCTTTGGTAATGGGGTATTTCTCCAGGCTGGAGATGACTTCCAGCACCGCCACCATGTTCCGGATCTGCAAAACAAGAGCCACTTGTCAAACCTCTGCCCTTCTCCCTGTTCTAGCCCATTCTGGCCTCTCTCCCCAAGGGCCAATGGAGTCAGCAACACCAGAGTTCTCATGCAGCCTCCTCCTCCTACCTGCTCCCAGAGCCAACAAGGTACCCAGTGCTCATGAGCCCGTCCATGGACATGCCTGCCTGCCCAAGTGGTTATCACATGGCTGAAACCCATGACATTCATGAAATAAGATCTGCTCTTGATATGGCAGAGGTGTTTACTCTACCATCTCATGGGGGGGGGGGGGGCGTGGTGCTGAAGATTTATCAAATAAAACACCAAGTTTAAAAGAACAATAAAGGCATACTTCCTTTTGTTGTTCGTAGCTTTAATACACTTCACAGATACTGTGTTTTTTTACCAAATGAAGGTCTGTAGCAACACTGCATTGAGCAAGTCTGTTGGTGGCATTTTTCCAACAGCATTTGCTCACTTTGTGTCTCTGTGTCACATTTTAGTAATTCTGATCATATTTCAGATTTTTCCATTGTTATATTTGTTATAGTGATCTGTGTGATCAGTGATTCTTGATGTTACTATTGGTGATTGTTTTGGGGTGCCACAAACTGCACCCATACAAGATGGCAAACTTGATTCATACTGTGTGTGTTCTGACTGCTCCGCTGCCCAGCCATTCCTCTGTCTCCTCTCCTTGGGTCTCCCTATTCCCTGAGACACAACAATATTGAAATTAGGCCAACCCATAACCCTACAAAATGGCCTCAAAGTGTTCAAGTGAGGAAAGTCACACATCCCTCACTTTAAATCAAAAGCTAGAAATGGGGGGCATCTTGGTGGCTCAGTCTGTGAAGCGTCTGCCTTTGGCTCAGGTCATGATACTGGGACTGAGCCCCACGTCGGGCTCCCTGCTCTGCAGGGAGTCTGCTTCTCCCTCTCCTCCCCACTTGTGCTCTCTCTCGCTACCCCTGTCTCTCTCAAATAAATAAAACCTTTTACTAATAACTTTAAAAGGCTAGAAATGAGTACACTTAGTGAGAGGAAGGCCTGCCCAAAGCCCCAAACCAAGAAAGGCCTCTTGTGCCAAACAGCCAAACTGTGAAGGCAAAAAAAGTTCTTGAGGGAAATTAAAATGCTATTCCAGTGAACAAGCAGAAGATAAGAAAGCAAAATTGCCTTACTGCTGATGTGGACCAAGTTTGATTAGTCTGGATATAAGATCAAACACCATAACATTCCTTTAAGCCAAAGCCTAGTCTAGAACAAGGCTCTACCTCTCTTCAATTCATTGAAAACTGGAAGAGGTGAGGAAGCTGCAGAAGCAAAGTCTGAAGCCAGTGGAGGTTGGTTCATGAGGTTTAAGGAAAAGCCAACTTCGTAACCTAAAAGTGCAAGGTGAAGCAGAAAGTGCTGATGTAGAAGCCACAGCAAGGGATCCAGAAGAAGCTGAGATAATTGATAAAGGTGGCTACATCCAACAACAGATTTTCAATGTAGACCAAACAGCTTTCTATTGGGAAAAGATGCTGGCCTTTCATAGCTAGAGAGGAGAAGTCAATGTCTGGCTTCAAAGCTTCAAAGGACAAGCTGACTCTTATTGGGGGCTCATGCATGCAGCTGGTGACTAAATTGAAGCCGATGCTCATTTACCATTTGGAAAATCCTAGGGCCCCATAAGAATTATGCCAAATCGACTGCATGAGCTCTAGAAATGGAACAACAAAGCCTCATGACAGCACATCAATTTGCCACATGGTTTACAGACTATTTTAAGCCTACTCTTGAGACATACCGCGTTTAGGAAAAAAGATTCCTTTCAAAATACTACCGCTTATTGACAGTGTACATGGTACCCAAGAGCTTTGATGGCGACGAACAATGAGATTAATGTTCTCATGCCTGCTGACACAACACCCATTCTGCAGTCCATGGATCAAGGAGTAATTTCAACTTTCAAGTCTCATTATTTTAAGAAGTATGTTTTATAAGGCTATAGCTGCCATAGATAGTGATTCCTCTGATGGATCTGGGCAAAGTAAATTGAAAAACTTCTGGAAAGGATATACCATTCTAGATGCTATTAAGAACATCTGTGACTCATGGGAAGAAGCCAAAATATCAACATGAACAGGAATCTGAAGGAGTGGATTCCAACCCTCATGGATGACTTTGAGGGTTTAAGACTTCCATAGAGGAAGTAACCACAGGTGTGATGCAAACAGCAAGAGAGCTAGAATCAGAAGTGAAACGTGAGTATGGGACTGGATTGCTCCAATTTCATGCTAAAACTTGAACAGATGAGGAGTTACTTCTAATGGATGAACAAAACATGGTTTCCTGAGATGGAACCTACTCCTGGTGAAGCTGCTATGAAGATTGTTGAAATGACAAAGGATTTAGAATACAGAAACTGGGTTGATAAAGCAGTAGTAGTATTTGAGAGGACTAAGTCCAATTTTGAAAGAAGTCCTACTGGGCAGCCTGGGTGGCTCAGCAGTTTAGCGCCGCCTTCAGCCCAGGGCCTGATCCTGGGGACCCAGGATCGAGTCCCACGTCGGGAGCCTGCTTCTCCCTCTGCCTGTGTCTCTGCGCGCCTCTCTCTCTCTGTTAGTTAAATAAATAGATAGATAGATAGATAGATAGATAGATAGATAGATAGATAGATAGATAAATAAATAAATAAATAAAGTTTTTAAAAAGTCCTACTGCGGGTAAAATGCTATCAAACAGCATCGCATGCTACAGAGAAATTGGGCATGAAAGGAAGAGACCCATCAATGCATCAAACTTCATTGTCTTGATTTTAAGAAACTGGTGCAGCTACCCCAGCCATCACCGACTACCACCTTGATCGGTCAGCAGCCATCACCACAGAGGCAGGACATTCCGTCAGCAAAAAGATTATGACTCGCTAAAAACGAGATAATGGTTAGTATTTTTTTTCTTAGTAATGAAGCTGGGGGCGGGGGGTTGTTTTTGTTTTAGAAATTAGGGGAGGGAAAGGGAGAGAAAGAATCCTAAGTAGGCTCCACAACCAGTGTGGAACCCGACTCAGGGCTTGATCTCATGACTCAGAGCATGACCTCAGCTGAAATCAAGAGTTGGATGCTTAACTGCACCACCTAGGCGCCCCCAGTAATAAAGTATTTTAGTTAAGGTATATACCTTGTTTATTTAGACTTACTACTATTCTACACTTAGCAGACTATGGTATAGTGTAAACACCACTTTTATATGCACTGGGAAACAAAAAACTTCATTTGCCTTGGTTTACTGCGACCATCGCTTTATTTTGGGGGTCTGAAGCCTAATCTGCAGTATCTCCTGAGGAATGAATGCCTGCACACAGTAATCCAATCAATTTGGCTATATTAACCAGATCTTTAGAGTTCATCCAAAGTCACCACAAAGTCACAAACTTGGAGAAGACAGATACCACTCAGCCCTGAGGATCTGTATCTGGAACACAGAAACCCCAGGCCAGCAGACAGTAACAGGCACTGGGCAAAACAGAAGATGGCATCCCCAGCGCTCAGCTCTCACAGGCATCAGGGAGTACAGATGGAAGCCAGGAGCGGTTGCCCTACAGACATGCCCGCCAACCAGCAGAAGTGGCATCTGACAATACCCGGTAGTTCTGGGGCGCAGCCAAGTATGGGGAGCAATGGCCTTTGGTAGTCTCACGTGTGCAGACCTTCTGACCAAGCCATCCCATCTCTTGTATGCTGCCTGCTGTGGGCCAGGCCCTACCCTCGTACCAAGTGTGTCCATACAGCACCACTCTGGAGCTGCAACAACCCTAAGGAGAAGGCCCCGTTATCATCACATTTTACAGATAGGAGACGGCATACAAAGGTATAGGTCACGCAACACCAGTGCCTTCCAAGAGTCAAAGTAACAGAATGAAAAATTCAAGAGCAACAGAAGTAAGCCAACAGTAGCCTCAGTGCACCAACAATACAAAGCTCAGATCACAGAGGGTAGAGTCACAGAAAACACAGACTGCATGATTCTATTTACACCAAACATCAGAGCATGCTCAAAAATTAATTTAAAATCAGTCACGAACTTGGCTCAGTCAGTAGAGCATGTGTGAGTTTAAGCCCCATGTTGGGCATAGAGCTTTCTTAAAAATTATATATAATATGTATATATTAGCTCCTAAAATCAATCACAGACCTAAATATGAATGCAAAAACTCTTAAGTCTTCTAGGAGACACAGGAAAGTATCTTTGCAACCTTGAGGTAGACAAAGATTTCTTAGGACCTCCAAAGCAGTCACTGTCTAAGAAAAAATACTGACAAACTAGGCTTCACGATTCAGAACGTCTGTTTACTACAAGAAGCAAACCTCAGCCTGGGAGCACGTGCTGACAAAGCATGCCCAGTGAAGGGCTCGACTCCAGAAGAGATAAAGAGTTCCTGCTCAGCAGCTGCTGGTTTCAGTGGGCTGGTGGGCAGGGGAGCCCAGACCCTGAGGAGGCCCCCCTCCCCCACAAGATCACACAGTAAGCACATCACACACCCACACACACTAGAACTGAGCTACGCAGGCACGCAAAAGGGCACAAGGAAAGGTACATCTCCTAGCCAGCCACTGCAGTGTTTCCTTGTATCTTTTCCAAAAACACTCCTTGCATACAGAAGCTTGTGTATACACTTACTGCACATTAAAAAAAAAAAAAAAAAAAACCCAAAGCAAAGTATGATTCCATGCCTTGCTTCTTCTAACATCAGAAACCCCCAGCATCACAGACCTCCCGGCTTTGCTCTTCCTTCCAGCTGGGGGCAGGGGCACTTGAACAGTGCTGTATCCCTCCTTTCTCACTGCTACAAACAAAGCTACAATCTCCACCTTTACTAGAGGGCTAACACAAGCTGCTTGAGGGGTTGTTGACACCAAGGTCATCACGATTGTAATTAGCTGCTGGGGAGGCTGCTCCCACTCCATGTCCACTGTAGGAGAGGAAGGTGGGGAAGCCTAGTTCTTGCATGCT